TTTTTTTTTTTTTTTTTTTTTTTTAAGGTTAATGGGAGATGAAAAAGAGACCTCAAAGCCTATTAGATGCCCCTGGATGTCAACCCTCCTCATGATCTCCACCTTGTGGAGGCAACACATTTCCTTCCTTTTAACAGAGGCATGGCTGTATTAGCGAAGCGCAGAAGAGAGAAGTACATGACAACTTTGATCATCAGAAACCAGAACCAACCAAACGGTTTCAAGATAGAAACAAAACAAGGTCATGAAAGGAGTTCTTCGTGCCTTGGAAAATTACAACTTTTGTTCGACTCGTGCGTCTTATTAAAACAAAAAGGCAGCGAAGGGACTGATACAGGCGACCTTAACGGATTTACAAGGGAAAGACATCATCCTCTTCGCTGATGGTAGTACACTCCAACTCTCTGGCCCTCAGATATCCCAAGTGTGTTAGAAAGTGTTAATTAAACAAGCCTTAGTCCAAGCACTAAGGTCGGCTAAGTCCTGCTCTTGTGCTTTGGCTTTGGGAGGTAGAGGGCTCTTTGAAGACAATTAACATACCACTCGGGCCTCGCTCAAGACGAATTCCTTTAACCTGATTCTACCTTAAATAAATATTAGCAGCCAGGGAATGGGTTTCGCCCTCTAGCGGAACCCAGGTGGCCCGGGAGCCCACCGGGAGTAAGAACTACATTTCCCAGGGTGCTCCGGGAAAGGGGCTGCCTCTCCCCCCATTGGCCGAGGATGGGTGACGCCGAGTGTTTTGGCCCAACGGTCACATGTTTTCTTTGTTGTGAGCGGTGGCAGAGGCTGGTGGCTCCAGGAGACGCCGGCGCAGCCGAGACCGTGGGTCGCCTCTTCCAGCCTGCGCCGAGAGGTACCGGGGTGGCCGCTCCAGGCAGCCCGCGGCCGCGGCGCTGACCACCGGCACCTACGGGGCGGGGGAGACGAGGGCCCCGGCAGCCCGAAGCCCGGCGCGGCCTCGGGCGTGGGGACCGGGCGGGGACGAGCCCTGCGGCGGCGATGCGCTTCGGGCGGAAGCGCCCGGAGTGCTACGGCCTCGGACCTGGCGTTTCCGTGGGGGTGAGGGCGACCGTGGGTGCTGTCGCCGAGCGCGGACGCGATCGGGGTGCCGGGGCCACAGCCGCCCGGCCGCGGGGTTGCGAAACCGGCTAGGCGTGGTCACCTGACCGTTACCCGCCCCCGCTGAGCCTTTGTTTACCGGGAGCGCGGCCGCGGGACGTCCCGGGGGAGCCCCCGCCCCACCGCCGGCTTCCTTCTTAATTTAGTTCCCCATGTCCCCGCCCCCCCCGCTTCCCCCCCAAGTCCCGGACACCGGAGGCGAAGACCGTTCCGGCGGCTCCGATTGGGCGCCGCAGGCGGGACCCGGCCGCCGAGTTCCGAGTTTTTATTGGCGGGGGCTGGTGTCTGGGTGGCCCGCGCCGCGCAGTCCCGCCCTCGCTTGAAGGTGACCTGGAGGACGCGGGCGCCGCGGGAGGGGGGACCACGGTGGGGGGCGTGCCCCGCGGAGGCCCGGGCGAACCCCGAGCCGACGGGCTGCGGGCACAGAGTGACAGGACAGCGCGGAGAAGTGCGCTGCTGCCAACCTGCCCTGGCCGGCTCTGCGCAGCCTGTGATAGCAGAGGGTGAACCACAAGGTCCCTTTTGGGGAAGCCTGAGCGTGTGTGTCCGCGCTAGCGGATTTTAATGCTGCGTTTTGTTCTGAACGGCGTGCTAGCTGTTTGCAGCTGGCACCCGGCAAGTCCACCAGGTGGTTGGTTGACAAGGTTTTGGTCTTTCGTTTTGTTTTTCTTTTATTGGGATTTAAAATCTACCCTTTGCCACTTAAGGTTTAAAAGGTTACCTTAAAAAAAAAAAAAGATTATGTGAAGTTATTTGCCTAAAAATTAGTTTTGTTTGTTTTTTTTTAGTGCACTTTCTTAGTTTTTCCTGTTGGGGATTTTTCAGCACACACACTTTGGTGTATTAATCTTCCAGGTAACTCAGAAGTTTCTGAGAAGGGAGTTGAAAGCGTATCTTGGAAAACTAAATTAATATCACTGAAAGACCAGTCATTTTTAGCCAGAGGATATTAAAGATTGTCTTCCCAAGCCCTTAAGCTTATGGGGGTCTCAGGTTTTGTCATTTTTATAGCAGAAAAAAAGTGAAGTTCTCCAGTGAAGCAGGTCTTACTGGCTATACATTCTTAACAGATTTTTTTTTAAAGATGTTGTTATTCCGTGTATGGGTATTTTGCCTTCTTGTATCCACCACTTGGGTTCAATGCCAAAGAAGGCCGGATGAGGGCGTCAGATCTCCTGGAAGTGGAGTTGCAGGTGGCTCAGGTTGTCATCTGCCTTGTGGTTGCACAGAACCAAACCTGCTGAACCTGCTCCAGCTCCGCTTAATATTAAAAATTCAAGTAGTGATGACTATCAGAATAAGCAGCTGTCTGATCAGAACACATAATCACTAGTGTACTAAGGCTATTTATTTAATAGACCTTAATATATGCAAATGCTATCCACTATACTTCAATAAAAACTACCGTCTGGTAAGTCGTTTTTCTTCAAAGCCTGTGATTTAGTCTCTAAACAGGAAGAAGAAAATAATATTCAAAGAGTTATCAGTTCAATCTTAAACTTCACTGGCCTTTGTTCAAGTTGCTAAAACCTTAAATGGATTTTCAGTGTGCTTTTTAACTTCCTTGTTTTCCTGCCATTTCGTTAAGATTCAAAGGTCAAACCTTTCAAAAATAAATACTTAGTAAATACATTGCAGCATTTATTCTTGTATGAACTTTACTCTTACCTTGAAAATTATAGACAACTCTTTCATCAGATACATAGGTATGGACTCTGTAATGAAAAATGTCAATCAGATGTCCTCACAAGCCTTCATACAGAAAACATGCTTTATTTCTGTTGTGGCTGCAACAGAGACAGTTGGATGTTGTAACATCTCTGTTCTTTATGCTATAAAACCCTGGAAGCGCAACCAACTGAGTCCCCTGTGGGTAGTCCAGTTATTTGAGATGCTGGGATTGCTCATAGACCCAGGAGTTCAAGACCAGCCTGGACAACATAGACCTTGGGGATGGGGGCAACAACAGAATAGCTAATTAACTTCAAGAGTTGTGACTCCTCCAACTTAAATTCAGGCCCTCTAAAATGTAGCCACTGAGTTCTCTCTAGTTGCCTGATCATCTTAGATGACCTGAAACATTGAAACTAAATAAAATGAGAGAACTCAAGCATTACAGAGTGGAGGTCATGCCTGGAACCCCAGCAGGGGATCTAGAATCGGTGCCAAACCTGCAATACACAAAGAGACCCGGCTCAAAGCAAAAGTGATTAGATTAGAAAGATTAGATTAGATTAGATTTGATCTCTATAATTTGTGCGGTACTAAGTTAAATAAAAATGATTGGCTTCCAAGTGTACTTGATATTAAAAGGTGATTTAGGATCTAAGGTAACACCACAGTTGGTATAGCTGTAATAAGCCAAAACTGATCTTGGTAGCAAGAAAGGTAACTATCAAAATTCTGTTTCTCCCCGCCTCCCCTGCAGCAGGATCTTGTTTTGTAGCCTTTCCTGGCTTGGTACCTGCTATGTAATTCATAATAGCCTCTAACTCACAGTGATCCTCCTGCCTCAGCTTCTGGAGTGCTGGGATTACAAGTGTTAACTCTCTTGCTTTGCTAGGCCTTTCACTTTTAAATCAAAATGCAGTAAGTATTGGAGGGGTGACTGACAAAATGGCATTGTTTCCATGTCAGGTCTAGTAACGGGCCTAAGTTAGGGAAAGCTTTTTAGACAGTGGGAACACCTGAAATGTATATGTATTTGTAAAATTTATAGTTTTACGTAAGTTTTATATAAGCTTGTGAAATTGATATAAATATGTAAAAGTCTGCTTGGTTTAGCGTAGTACTTTGTAAAGGATTTAGTCTTCTGGAAGCATTTGCTAGCATCCTTTTACATTACCATTAGATCTTTAAAGATAACTCTCTTTCAGTTACCCTTTCTTGTTTCTGCTTCAGCCGTGGTTCAGTTTGAGGAAATGTGATGTGGAACATGGATGGCAGGGATGGCTGGCAAGTCGTAGGGACTATACTAATAGAAGGCCACAGGTTTCTTGTTTTCTGGTCTTTGGAAGGCCTTAGTTGGTCCATACTGTCTGCCTGTAATGTCTTTGTAGAGGATTCTTTTAAAGGAAAACAAAGCTTGTTATGTTGCCACACTGTAAGTCACACCTTATACACCCTGTCCCTTGTCCTTGACGTATTCGGATCTTCAGCATTACCTAGTTGGGCATTGTGGCACCTTTAATCCCTGAGGCAGGCAGATCTCAGTAAGTTTTAGGCCAGCCTGGTCTACATAGTGAGTTCCAAGCCAGCCAGGGCTACATGGAGAAAGAAACCCTTTCTCAAAGAACAACAAAATACCAATTTAAAAGAAGAAAAAAGTAGGGTTGGGCATTTAGCTCAGTGGTAGAGTGCTTGCTAGGCCCTGGGTTCGGTCCTCAGCTCCAGAAAAAAAAAAAAAAGCCAAAGTATTACCTACAGAAGTAAAGTCCTACAGAAAATGCTGGATGGGCTATTTTCTACTCAGATGGTATAATCCTGCATCAAACGAATCATTCCAATTTGTGCTTGAGTTCTGCTGGAGAAATGCTGAGAATGTGGATCCATATTAGTGTTGGAGTCTTGTTTGATCCTAGTGCTGGCCAACCTTACAGTATCTAAAGTTGAATTTGAGTCTAGAATTTGCTGCCCCCGTGTCAGACACAGTGGGCACTCTTTCATTGGCCTTGGGCCTTACTCGATACTGGTGAAGAATACTCACTAATCCTAATTAGGTAGGACTGACAAGCCCCTAACTTGACCAAGATGCAGTGTTCTTTATTAAATGTACACCCGAATTAGACTGCCTAATGAAAATAAGGAAATACACAAGATAGTGTTCATGTCCTAATCACAGAGTAGTCTGAATATAAAGATGTGATTTTGTATTTTTTTAAGTTGGTTATTGGTTTTGATATCAAATCTGCCCAAACTTAAGAATTTACAAGTTCTTGTTATGGATGACTGGATCAGAAACCAGAAGCAACCACTAATATTTAAATACGGTTGCTGTTCTGTGCACAGCTCTAAATCCTGGTCGTTTCTCTTAAGCATTCTTCTCCATCTCCTACACACACACACACACACACACACACACACACACACACACACACACACACACACTGGGGCATTAGTGCTTATGTAGACATTAACTCTATAAGATTCAATAAAGCAGGGGGCTGGAGAGATGGCTCAGAGGTTAAAAGCACTGACTGCTCTTCCAGAGGTCCTGAGTTCAATTCCCAGCAACCACATGGTGGCTCACAACCATCTGTAATGAGATCTCTGTAATGAGATCTGGTGCCCTCTCTGGTGTGCAGACATACATACAAACAGAACACTGTATACATAATAAATAAATAAATCTTAAAAAAAAAGATTCAATAAGGCAGAAGAAATAAAAATATGTATTAAATTATTTTATAGATTTATATGAAGATTCTATATAAATATACATTACAAAAGCTTACAAGTGAGTGGGTTTTCTTTATTAACTTGGGGTTTTTCTTAGGTTGATTACATAGTTATGTGGTACATAATGCATACACTGATTACTTTGGGCATGTTGATAGCACAGCTCTTAAAGTACTCAAATTCCATCATATTTGAGTGAAATGTAAGGTTTTTGGCATTCTCCAAATATTCAAAGTGGAATTATCACAGGGTAAACATTTCTTCATCTCACTGTCAAATTTAGCTTACTATTGCAACGAATAGTAAAAGAAATTTGAATCTAATTGAACATAAAATTATTAATTTTCTTTGAGTTACTATTAATGATCTATATGAAAACGAACTTCCAGTTAGGAACTGCAATTTACTAAGAACTGTTTTCACCGTATCACTGATGCACTTGACTGATAGTGTCTGATTTGTATGTCGCTGTTCTCTATTTTAGGTGTGGAAATATAAACAACACAAGTGTTTGCCTGGGGCTTTGTGAAACAAATGCTAAGAAGGTATATTTATGTTTATTAGCTATTTACGATGCATTGTTCTTAGAGAGTTTAAACCATTTCATTCTTTTTTTTCTTTTTTGGTTTTTCGAGACAGGTAGCTTTACTCACTTGGTAGCCCAGGCTGGCCTTCGAACTCCCGAGTGCTGGGATTAAAGGCGTGCACCACCACCGCCCGGCTCCATTTCATTCTTTAACCTGGGATCATTTAATGCCAGTCAGAATAATAGTGAATAGCAATGGCCAGTAGCTTTCTCTATGTAACCCTAGCTGTCCTGGAATTCACTCTGTAGACCAGGCTGGCCTCGAACTCACAGAGATCTCACAACAATACGCCTGCCTCTGCCACTCCCTCCACCCCCCACCCTCAGTACTGGGATTAAAGGCCTGCGCCAGCACCAGACCAGACAAGTTCTATCTTAAGACAGAATTGAGTTGAGTGTGATGAGGTGCACTTGTAATCGCAACATTCGGGAACTGTGGTTACATTAACTATGGCTAGTTTGTATGTAAAAAGTAAGTAAGGCAGTGGTGGTGGCACAGTTCTTTAATCCCAGCAGAGGCAGGTGGATCTCTGTGAGTTCGAGACCAGCCTGGTCTACAGAGTGACCAGGACATTCAGGACAGCCAGGACTGTTGCACAGAAAAACCCTGTCTTGAAAAACAAGCAAACAAATAAGTAAGTGAATACTTTATTTCTAATAAATGAGAAAGCAAAGGCTGAGTAATTATATATGGAAGGCCAAAAGTTTAACTTTGAAAGCATATCATATTTTAAGATGACCCTGTGCAAACCATTTACCCTGTGATAAATAGTAAGAGTTTGTATTTGGTTCTCTTGTGGAAGGCTGGTTAATAGAGTTTTCTTAGAAAGTCCAGAGATAGCAAGTCTTAGTCAACCTCCATGTCCCCAGTTTGACCTAGTACTGATACATTCATTGCACTAGCTACAGAAAGCTGTTCCGTGTTTTCCTGTAGGCGTCAAGGAAATGAAAATGTGCGTGGAGCCAGTGGGCTCAGGTAGATGAGGGGTTGTTTTACTTAGAGCAGTGGTTCTCAACCTTCCCAGGGCTGTGACCCTTTAGTACAGCTCCTCATGTTGTGACTCCAACCATGAGATTATTTCGTTGCTACTTCATAACTGTACCTTTACTACTGTTACTAATCGTAATGTGAATACCTGATACGTGACCCCACAGGTTGAGAACTGATGGCTTAGAGAGAGGGAGGTTTTGTCCTTGTTAGGTGGCTGGTTGTTTGATTGATTCATTTTGAGTTTTTAGACAGGATATCTCGGTGTAAGTCAGGCTGGCCCCAGACCTGCAGCCATCTTCCTGCCTCTCCCTCTGAGTGCTGAGATTGCAGGCATGCATTGCCATGCCCAGCTTAAGGAGGTTTTTATTGGCAGCACCAGTAGTGATATCTCTCATCAAAGTACCAGTGGTTCATGTGAATTTGTTTCAGCCTAAAATACAGTAGTGATGCTGATGATGATGATGAACTAGGTAAGCTGTTACAAAGAATAAATTCTTGATTTGGGAAACTGGCTTTTAGCTAATTCAATCATAATTTGAATCTGGAATAGTAAAGATTCAAATATGAATTTCTTTCCGTGTCATAACCATTTCTGTCTGTTTCTGTGTTTGTTTTGAGACAGGGTCTCATGTTTCCTGGACTGGCCTAGAACACACTCACTCTCTCACTCTCTCTCTCTCCACCCCACCCCCCCCCCACCCCCCACCCCCGAGGATGACTCTGAACTATCCTCCTGCCTCTACCACGGACGTGCTGTTTACAAGCACACACCACCACCACGCTGGTTAGAGAAAAGGAGGTGTTACTGCTTCTCTTTTTGTACTGGTTAGGGTTTGTTTGTTTGTTTGTTTTTTGTCAACTTGACTCAGGCAAGAGTTATTTGGGAAGAGGAACCTCAACTGAAAAATGCCTCCATTGGATTACTTGTAGACAAGTCTGTAGGACAATTTTTGATGGTTGATATGGGTGGGCCCAGGCCCCATGGAGGCATACCACCCCTGGACAGGTGGTCCTGGGTGGTATAAGAAAGCAGGCTGAGCAAGACATAGGATACAATCCAGTATCCATTCCACATCCTCTGCTTCAGTTCCTGCTTCGAGTTCCTGCCCTGACTTCCCTAGTGATGGAGTGTGACTTGAGCGTTCCAAGCTGAAATGAACCTTTTCTCCTTAATTAGCTTCTGGCCGTGGTGTTTATCAGAGCAATAGTAAACCTAACTAACACTTTTCTCCAGATTTCCACTATAAATAGGTAGTGCTGTTTGAAAATGTTAAATGTGCTTGTTAGTTAGGCACTGCTCTTTATTTTCTCATTCATTCATTCATTATGCTAGAGGGCACAAGTGTGCTACAGAATGTATATGGATGTCAGAAAATGACTTGTGCCAGGCGATGGTGGTGCACACTTTTGATCCCAGCACTTGGGAGGCAGAGACAGGCAGATCTCTTGAGTTCAAGGCCAGCCTGGTCTACAGAGTGAGTTCCAGGACAGCCAGGGCTGTTATACAGAGAAACTGTCTCAAAACAAACAAACAAACAAACAAACAAATGACTTGCAGGAGTCAGTTCTCTCCTTCCACTACCTGGGTTCTGGGGATCCAGCTCAGGTTGTCAGGCATGTGGGCAAGGGCCCTCACCCACTAAGCCTTAGTAACAGCTCCCATCTGCGACTGAGAAATATGTCCCAGTTCCTCAAAGATGACTGTGAGTAACCAAAGGACTTAGTCACTCGACTAAGACAGTTCATTTTTGTTTTCTTGAGACAGCATCTCACTTATGTAGCCTTGGCTGGCCTGCTGGAGCTCTCTGTATAGACCAGGCTAGCCTAGAACTCACTACATAGCCAAGCATAACCTCAGACTCTTGAGTTCCCAAGTGGTGAGATTACAGATATGTACTTGATCCTAGTTTGTGTGATACTAGATCAAACCCAAGGCTTCATGCATGCTTGGCAAACACCTTACCAGCTGAGCTCTGCCCCCACCCAAGTCCATCGACTTTTTAATAGCTGTAAATAAACTGCTCTGTCTTGAAGACATCCTGGGGTTTAGTTAATAGGGTCTTTAGCTTGTTTTAACTATTTGCTGTTAATACAGCACTGAACATCTATGTATATAAATTATTCCACAAATTCCTGATTATTTCTTTAAGAAAGTGGTGGAAAATGAAGCTGGCTAGACAATTTATGTATTTTTAAAGTATAGTGATAGGTAAATACTTAAATATTTAGATAATAATTGTTCAAACAAAAAAGATAAAAGCTGTTTATGTTAATGTTCTGGCTGTAAGCCATGCCTGGTGGTGTCTGCCTATAATCACAGCTTCCAGGAGGCTGAGGCAGGAGGAGTTCAGACTATCCTGGACTATATAGGGGAGACTTTGTCTCAAATAAACAAAAATAACATCTAGAAGACTGTTAGTCCAGCTCTGCATGCTTTCTTACTTCTACCATGCAGGAGACGGGGACACTGCTGGCCTAAAAGAGTATATATAACCCTTTGAACTGAGGACTGCCAGGATATCACAAAGTAACTCTCATGTTCTAATCCTACATTGCAAATTTTTTTATCAGTTTTTATTAAAATAAGCTAGTATATGTTGTAGAATATATTAATCATGTGACTTTGTTATGTTTACATAAAAAATAAAATTGTATAATTATTTTTATTTTTCTTTAGACACATAAAGAAGATCCCTAGCAGCCATTTCTCAACAATTATATAGTCAACTGATGTAACAATGGTACTAATATTGGGACGCAGACTAAACAGAGAGGATCTTGGGGTGCGTGATTCCCCAGCAACTAAGCGCAAAGTTTTTGAAATGGACCCCAAATCTCTGACAGGTCATGAGTATTTTGACTTCTCTTCAGGATCATCCCATGCTGAAAACATACTCCAGATATTTAATGAGTTCCGAGACAGCCGCTTATTCACAGATGTCATCATCTGTGTGGAAGGGAAGGAGTTTCCTTGTCATCGAGCTGTCCTCTCAGCCTGTAGCAGCTACTTCAGAGCCATGTTCTGTAATGACCACAGGGAGAGCCGAGAAATGCTGGTTGAGATCAACGGCATTTTAGCTGAAGCTATGGAATGTTTCTTGCAGTATGTGTATACGGGGAAGGTGAAGATCACAACCGAGAACGTCCAGTACCTCTTTGAAACCTCCAGCCTCTTTCAGATTAGTGTGCTCCGGGATGCGTGTGCCAAGTTCTTAGAGGAGCAGCTTGATCCTTGCAATTGCCTAGGAATCCAGCGCTTCGCTGACACTCACTCACTCAAAACACTCTTCACAAAATGCAAGACCTTTGCATTACAGACTTTTGAGGATGTGTCCCAGCATGAAGAGTTTCTTGAGCTTGACAAAGATGAACTTATTGATTATATCTGTAGCGATGAACTTGTTATCGGTAAAGAGGAGATGGTTTTTGAGGCAGTCATGCGCTGGGTCTACCGAGCTGTTGATCTTCGAAGGCCGCTGTTGCATGAGCTCCTGACACACGTCAGGCTCCCGCTCTTGCATCCCAACTACTTTGTTCAGACAGTTGAGGTGGACCAGTTGATCCAGAACTCCCCTGAGTGTTACCAGTTGCTGCACGAAGCAAGACGGTACCACATCCTTGGCAATGAAATGATGTCCCCGAGGACTAGGCCACGCAGGTGAGAAGACACTTTACGGATACAGCTAACAGAAGTTTGGGTTTTAAACATATATTTTAAACTGCTGAACTCAATCTCAGCGTACTCATTTAGGTGTATAGTTTATATGAGTCTTAGGCAGTTGAAGGTCTCTTTGGAGACTTGGAGATGTAGCTTCGATTTTACGGTTCTTGCCTACATAAACTGGGTGTGGTAGCACATACCTGTAATCTTAGCACACAGAGACAGGTGGATCAAGAGTATCTTCAGGTATATACATAAACCCTACATTTCAGATCTCTATTTAATGTCAGTCTCAACTTTCAATGATTTTTTTTTTTTTTTGGTGTTTCTGTTTTTGGGAGCACACATTATATAGCCCCAGGCCGGACTTAAACTCTCTATGTAAGCTGACATTGAACTCCTGATCCTCTTGTCTGCCTCCAAGTGATAGAATTACTGATATATGCCCCATGCCCAACTCAAGTGCTTTGTCTGAATTTGAAACTTATATCCACATTAAAGAATATTCAGTAAGCATATGTTTGGAGTGAAATGTGACTATTAGTGTTATAGATGTAATTTTATCGATGCCTATGGAAAGTCCTCCTGCCCACAGAGGAAGTGCTCTTGCCCACTGGGCCATCACCCTGGCCCTGTTTTCCAGCCAACTTGTAAGGGAACCGACCCTTTTTTCACTGTTTCTCAACAGTGAAAAGTGTGTGTCAGGTTGCAGCATCAACCCATTTGGAAAGCAGCAGGAAGAACTAAAGTAGAATTCTAAATTGGAGGCTGTTGGTGATGCACTAGCAGGTGCTTCTCCTGCATAAGCATTCCCTGAAATTCCAGAGATGATCCTTTGTTTACAAGTCTGCTACCGACCCCTGGTGCTTCCATCCTGTTTTGCCTGTTACTGTATTGTTTAGTTACTGGAAGCTGTCTTGTTTTGTATAGATTTGTGTCGGGGAAACTCCTGGGTTCTCCACTCTCCACTCCCTAACTCCAGTACCTCCTCTGACTTCAGCTGCTGTCTTCAGTCAGGACTGAACGCTCTAATCAAGTCGTCAGAGACCTTGTTTGGTTTGCTAGTCTCCTTTCAGTCTGGAGCTAGCTTCATGGCTCTTGAGGTGTTGGGTCGATTCTGGTGCTAGGGACAGAGTTGATGGCCTTGTAGTACGTGTTGGGGAGTTCTCTACCGCCAAGCCACACCCTCATACCTGGGATCTAACCTTAACTGCCATATCTACCTGGAAACTCCGCTGGCTTCGGGAATACCATTGACCTGACTTGCTGTTGGCCAGTGTTCTTTTCCAGGGTTCACGTCCTGATTCTGGTGTCAGGCCATAGTGTTACTTGTTCAGGCTGCATCTTTTTGTCGGCCTTATATACTTTCCTGGGTGACTTTATCTCATCCAGACCATGATTTTCATTACCCTGAACACTGCATACTATCAGCTCTAACCCTGACTCTTTAACACATATTTTCTCACTTCCTCATTCGTATTTCTTTTAAATTTTTGAATAATTTTTACCTAATGCCTTTTTGTTTTGCATGATTTATATTATTAATTTATAGACATATTTGTTACTTGATTGTGTGTATCTTTTAGAATAGCATAAACAAAATAACTTTTACAATTAAAGGTTCATATTAGCTACAACCCAATCCATATTTAAATTGTCTTTTGATATATCTGGATCTAGAATCTCCCATTATATCTGGTTATTTCTAAGAAGTCTCTTTTAATCCAAAACTGCTTTTTCATGTTTCTGACTTGATAGAACAATTTCTATAGCCCACCTTCTAGATTCTTGTATGGCCTCCTTTGGACGTATTTAGCTACGGATATTTCCTAGAAAGTGCTCGCTGGCTTTATGTAGGTTTCAGAATAGACATGAGTTAGTACTATAGACACATTTTACAGAACCCCAAACTTGGGTTTAGAGAAGTGACTTACTCAAGGTCACAGTTCAGTCGGGGACTTCACACTAGTCCACATACTGCCTCCTAGTGACTTTTGAGTTTGACTGTTTTGAAGACATTTCATAAAAATGATACTGTACTTTATAGGACTTTATTGATTACTCTTGTTTGCTTTTGAGACAAGGTCTCATATATCCCAGGCTGGCCTCCAGGCCTCCAGCCCTCTAACGTGGCCGAGGATGCCCTTGAACTTCTGACCCTGCTTTCACTTCCTCAGTTACTCAGTACTGGGACTTAGACCTGGGCCACCACACCAGCTGTTTCTGTTGCTTTCATTCAGTGCCCGTAGCATCCCTAGATTCCTTTCTTCCCTAAGCACTCAGCGAAGATGGGACTTGTTTCCAAGGTGAAAGGTTTGTTTATTTTTCACATTGCTGCACTATGGGGGTTGAACCCAGGGCCTGTGAATGCTAGGCAAGTACTCTGCCTCTGAGCCATTCTCCAACCCCTCTAGGAGGAAAGTTTAGTATTAGTGTGGAAAACATATTAACACCTGCATATGTGTAACCCTGTTCTCAGGTGTCTGAGGCAGGAGAATTGCTATGAGTGTGAGACCAGACTGAGCTATATAAATGAGTACCAGGCCAGCTAGGGGTACATAGCCAGACCTGTGTGAGACACAGGGAAAGGGGGAGATTGTACAAGTTTGGGGTTGAAATACTTGGGGTTTTTGTTGCTGCATTTTTTTTTTCTTTTGTGTGCATATGCCCTACAAGGCATGCTGTGTGTGGAGGACAGAGAATAACCTGTGGTGTAACTTCTCTCCTTCTGCTGTGCAGGTCCCAGGGTCAAACTCAGGTCATCAAGCTTTGTGGCAGGACTTTTACCCTCTGAGCCTTGTTGACAGCCTTGAAATACTTTTTTTCTAGCTGTTTCTGTTTTCGTTTTTTGAGATGTAATCTCATGTAGCCTCTGTGGTTTTGAACTTGCTATAAAACCAGAGCTGGCCTTGAACTCCTGGTCCTCCCATGTCTGCTGTCCTGTACCAGGATTGTAGCATGCACCACTGTACCCTGCATGAGGATACCTTTGGAACTCTGGAGAGTCATCTGGTCATCAGCTTGAACAATTCAGACTTCGTCTAGTAAGCATGTGCCGTCCTTGTATGCCAAGTGCTGCTTCAAAGCCTTTCTTTCACCTGGAGAAAAGTGACTTCCCCCTGGCAGGCCTCTGCCACCCCTTTGTCTCAGTCCTTGAATCTGGTGGTCCTGGTGTATCATATCCCTGACCTTTTGTTGCAGTCTAATTGAGACCGCCATTGCACTTCATTTGGATTTCTTTTTAAAGCTTGTGTGTGGACGTGGGTGGGTGGGTGGGTATTATGTCGGGGAACACTGGCACACAACAATTGGGTGAGTTAATTCTCTCCTTCCACTTTCCACAACTCAGGTTGTCAGGCTGCATATGGCAAGGGCCTCTTCACCCCCTGAGCCATCTCACCAGCCCCCATTTCAATTCCTTACCCCAGCCCAGTTCCTGGTTTCTGTATTTTTTTTTTTTCTCCGTTTTTTGAGATTGTTTCTCTCTGTGACCTTGGTTGTCCTGGAACTCACTCGTAGACCAGACTGGCCTCAAACTCCTAGAGCTCTACCTTTCTCCGTCTCCTGAGTGCTGGGACTCAGTTTAAAAGTCTGGTATTCCCAGCCCTAGGAATACCAGACTTTTAAACTACTGACTGGGAGTTTGGGTCTGAGGTTTGCATGGAGCTCCAGTTCAGATTGTCCCTGCCATAATGATTACCTGGAATTTCCCCTGGTGGATGCTGATTCTTTGTTTTGGTAGCACTAGGCTGCTACAAAATGAGGTTCCCAAGTAGGAGCATGGATAACATTGACCTGGACAAGTGTTTGCTGATGTGATGACCCTATTTGGCAAACTGCTCATATTGAGGGGCAAAGGTGCGCAAATACATCATTTTAAGGTTACAGTCAGCAGTTGGTTATATACTTGGGTCCTGACCTTTAATATTTATGCATGTTCATTTTTGTGGAAGTAAGTGCAGGTATGGGTCATGAGACTGAAAAGGGAACTGTGGGAGGGGAACAGGAAGTTTTAAGCAAGGGGGCTGGGAGGAGTAGAGGACATGAAGGAGGAAGGGGACTGCTGGGGAGGAAGAAGGGGTGGGAAGAGCAGACAAAACCAACTGGCTGCCTTGTATGCTGTTTTATTTTTTGTTGTGGTGTGTGGGGTGATCTGCCTGCGTGTATGTCTGTGCATCATAGGGATGCAGTTCCCTCAGAGGACACATGAGGGCATCAGATCCCCTGGAACTGCAATTACAGACCCATATGAGCCGCCATGTAAGTGCTGGGAATCGAACCCAGGTCTTCTGGACAAGCAGCAGGTGCTCTTAGCTGCTGAGCCATTTCTCTAGCCCCTGATTTTGAATTATTTTTCTTTTATGTTTATGAGTATTTTGCCTGCGTATGTAAGTGCACATGTGTATGCCTGGTACCTGCAGAGGTCAGGAGAGCACACTGGATCCCCTAGAACTGGACTCACAGATAGATGGTTGTGAGCCAACATATGGGTGCTGGAACCAAACTCAGGTCCCCTGGAAGAACAGCCAGTGCTCTTAACCACTGGGTCCTCTCTCCAGCCCCTGTATTTTTTATAAAGAAAATACTGATTTTTTTTTTTTTTAAAGAAAATTACATAGGTATTTCTCCGAATATTCCCTAACACCACCCCCTTTTTGTTAATGAGACAGGGTCTCCTTGCATAGCACAGGCTGTCCTTGAACTCAAAAGTGCCTCCACCTCACTTCCCAATTATTGGAATTAAAGGTGTATGCCACTATACCTAGCCTCTGTCTGTCCCCTTTTACCTGATGATGCAGTTACTTCATGATGAATATGGGAACATAATTATTATAATGAGGACAAAGCTTAAGTTCTCAGGAATAAGGAAGTTGCGAATATATTATTTCCTTAAGAAATAAGATTTTTGCTGGGCATTTTATGGTTTCCTCTACATGTACTTGCTGGAGCTTGGGCAACCTAACAATGCACACCTATTTTCCTAGTACTTGAGAGGT